TTTTCTCACCCACACAATACCTCCCTCTGACATTTAGAGGCTGGAGCGCCGCACCACGCCCGATTTAAAGTGCAGACATTGTGATAAGTGTAACGAAACCAGACATTTAGCCTTAAACTGATAGCTTTTCAGCAGATTCAGCACTGAGCGGGCAGAGACTGGCAGGAACAGCACGCTTAGGAAAACAAAGATCACAAACCGAACCCCTCGGTGAAGCTGAAGGCTGAGATTGGGACATCTGGGGCAACACAAAATATGATTAAATAATGGTTAAATGTTATTTTCCCCGCATAGCTCCATGTGCGGCTAAATGGAATAATATGCAGTTGAAATGGAAAAAAAAGTCTTGGGTATTAATCCCTCTCTTCCACTGGCTGTGCACACCAAAAATAAACCGTGTTTGTAGGTTGCAGCAGTTCAGGAATACTATTGAGCTCTTCCTGAGTTTGTAATGCCTTACTTAAAGGTCAACGTGTTTTCTGATTCGACACTTGTAGCAAGAAAGCACTTGAACAGAGCGTAAACCTCCACTGAAAGCCTTTTCACAACATCTCAGCGTTTACCTGTGTCAGCTAGTTTCTGGATCCCGGCATTGTGAATCCACCTCCACTTCACTGGAACAATGTTTTTAATTAAGTCTGCGCTTTTCCTGTTAAAGCACGTCAGAATACCTATGACACACTAATTGCTGTATTTGGTTGGTACGTAACTACTGAGCTGCTGTGACGCCTGTTTGATAACATTATGGACAAACGGTCAGCATTTTGTTAACAACTTGAAATTATCTTCATTCTAAGCAACAGTAAATTTTCATTGACGTCAGGCGTATTAGTTTCCTATTAATCTCTCTCTGCTCGCTGATTTAACCCCTAGAAAGTCATCTCTGTGTACCAAAGTCACATATTTAGAAGTTTTTCCATGAAATGATTCCCTTCCTGCCTTAAAATGGGTTAGATGTAACTCTACACCATTTTTTCCTCTAGAATGTGTGGATCTACGCAGCCTCTATCTGTGTCCGTGCCTCCTCACCCACGGCAGCTCAGCAGCTCACCTACGACTACTCAAACACTGTAAAACTACTCGACACTACACAATCACAAACTGTAACGCTGGAGTAAATCGGCTGGTCAAGTTCGAACCACAAACCGATCCAGAAGATGCCAGTTCCTTAAGATCGTTACGTGTGAAACCCCACTAGTCTGAATATGCAATTCAGTGTGGAAATGCTTAGTCATTGTCTAGATTGCTTATTCACTCATCCTCTGTCCTGCTGCATATTAAAAAACACACCACATAGACATGTTAACAAGGTGAAAAACTTGATTGTAACCTTTTATAATGGTGCACTGGTGGCACAAAAAAAAGAGGATAATTAATCAGTTTTCTGTTTCATGTTCATTATTGTTCTTGATTTGACTGATCGTGTCATTGAAGTGTTACCTAAAATTATCTATAAAAGATGGACGTAGCCACAATGTGCATTTATTCTGACATCCAGCAGGGGGCGACTCTTCTGGTTAACAAAAAAAGAAGTCTAATAGTGAGGAAGTCCTTGAGACAATGACCCGATTTCTGATTTGATTTGTTACCTCAGTAAACACTTTAATATAAATTTTATGGTCTCAGTTGTTGGTTCCAAGTCTCCTTTAATACAGAATAATGCTCATTTGGTAAATTGTGGTCCCATTTCTAGAAAAATAGACAATAATGCAGGGTATGGTTTGCGACCTTGTCATGTGTAGCAGTGACATCCACCCTCACTTGTTACGGCTCGTTTCAAAACATTGCGACGGTCAAAATCCAAACAGGAAGTTTCAAAGCAGAAGTCCGCAAATCCGTGGGTGACATCATGGGTGCTACGTCAACATTTGCAAAAACAGATCACTCCATTTTTTTTAGATTTTCAGAAAACTTTTTTGTTGTTGTTTGCTTGAGATAATATCAATCAAGCTGAAGTTGAGTGAACTTGACTGAGTAGAAATGACAAAAATAGAGATAAGTTTGATTGATGTCTCAGGTAGACGATGTGGGTTTCTGAAGGTTTGTGAAGATGGAGTTATCTGTTGTTGCAAATGAACTCTTCATATTATATTCAGGTTGTAGGTAATATTAGAACAGTTATGCTTCTCTGTCAGGTACAAATGACGCAAGCATGTGTACTTGTTCAAAGAACATGTGGAGCCCCAAGTGTAACTTTAGCTTTATTGTCGCTGAAATAGACCTCGACTACAAATTTTTTAACAGAACATCTGGGCTACAAACTGGTGGTGTGAGTTTGAAAGACAAGACATTTGCCAAGCAGTTTCACTTTTTCAAAGAAAAACACAAATAGATTGTAATATGGAAAGTGCAGGATCCAGTATTTTTTTTAGGTTAAACCCCAAACTAGGGACTTTTAATGATATTTCTCAGATCTTGCTGCATCTCCTGTGAGCTGTTTTTCTCCTTTAAAACCATTAGTCCCAAGTTACCCAATTTTGTGGAAGTGCAGTAAAAAGAAGTGCATTGCTAAGTTACTGGATTCCCCCTTGAAGGAGTCACAAGTCAGCAGACGTCTTTATTTTTCCCGTCTCAGACTTGCATCAACATACGTTGCTTAATACCCACTTGTTTCGCTCACAAAGAAACAAAAGACAACCCCACCGCCTCCGCTCTTTAACGGGTGACGTGATCACTGCTCTTAACCTTCTATCTGTATATGTGGCATTTGCGTGTGTGAGAGTAAGAGAAATAAGATGTTAAATCCTTTGTTCCTGTTTGTTATATTAGTGCTCAGTGCAGGATGTGGCAGAGCCTTAACTGATGCAAATGAAAACCATGTGTAACCTATATAGCCACTCACCAGTTCCCACCTTTCCAACATCCCACATCCTTGTTACCAGGCAGAGTGGTGCAACAATAACCGCTGCCTGTTCATCAGTCTTCCTGATCCAGTGGGAAATGTGCAGTTTACAGTATGATGGCTATTATGAGACACAATAGGCAAAAGCAGGACTTCCCCTGTTGGGAAGTTTCTATTCATCAGCCTGCCGGCGATACACGCCTGAAACTGGAAAGGCAGAAACATAAAAGGAGCTTGTTAATGATGTTTATTGAGTAGAATTTGACTGAATTTAAAGACTGATGAGATCAGATGTGATGTGAGGACAGAGTTTGCAGATCAGCCTTTGTTTAAAAAAAAAAAGAAAAAGAGGACAGACTGAAGTAGAGTGGCCCTGCAGGACGAGGAATTACCTTTTCATTTATCTAGGTGAAATGTGAGCGAGTGAGGAGATGGCTGGATGAGGCCGGGGCATTGTGGTGTGGTCTTTTGTTGGGCTTTGTGAAGGAGAAGTGAGTCATTTCGCAGACAGTGAAGAAAAGCTCTCCGGTTACACACAGAGAAAAGAAAAGAGAGGACTGTGGGGAAGAATTATGCTGAAGCAATTCTTTTCTCCGCTCTGCAGAGTCAGCTGGGCAAGACAGAAAACATCAAACCGTGACCCACAGCTAAATGTCTGACTTGTGTGCAGGTCACAGAGATGAGTAGAGCAAGGAAAACACCATGCACAAACAAAGATGGATGTACTGAAACTCCCGCACAAGAAAGAAAACACAACGGATTCTTTCCCCGCTAAGTCTTCATTGTGGCTTTATCATCCTTTACCTCGATACAGTCAGAAAAGTCCATTAAACTGATCTGAACCGACTCCCATCCCCCATCCCCCTCATCGCCGTGTCCTGCTGTGCGTCTGGCTCACATGATGCAGTTGGAATTCCAGATGTTGCTCATGGAATTCTGCTCCATCTCTGGCCTCCAAATGTGACTTAACTCTTCTTACTCCTCCTTCATCTCCTCCTCCTCCTCCCCCCCCCAAAAAAGCCTCGTGACTTCTCCCTTCAGCCCCAGCTCTTCAAAACACTGCAGCAAAGTGGAGACAAATGGGCGCCCTAAATCTTTCTGGCACAATAGGAAAATACCTCATCATTTTTAATTGCATAAAGCCTTGTTGCTGTAATCATAACATATCATAGAGCCGCTGACCCCCACCCACTCTCTTTCTCTTGCAGTCAGTCATCTTCGCGGAGAGTCTAATGTGTGCATGGCAGTTGTTCATTAGCGCCATCATTAAGGAGAGAGGAGACGCCTTAGTTTGCTGTTTGAGCTTTTACTGGCTCACGGTGGATGGGAGTGAACACAGCGACTAATACACAAGTAAAGGCATTTATAGCTGTGCAAAACATGCACGAGTGTGTGTTTGTGTTGCTGTACTTGTGAGGATCCCCATTAACCGCATTCGCCCTCTGAGGCCATGATGAAGAATTCAATTTCTTCACTGCTTGTCAAATCCAAGCCTTAAATCTTAAAGAGCGTCCTCCACTTTCCACAAGTTTCTTCATCATCCTACGCTTGTGGAGGCCGTGTGGTCCTCGTAAGTATGGAAACACCCTCGTTACACACACACACCCTCTCTCTTCGCTGTATAGTTGAGATATGTTTTCCTGCTGTGCAGCAACGGGTTTATACAGTCGTCTTCATCCCTGTTTCTACTTAAGCTTTGGATCCAGTCCGCATTTTCCGACCCAGTTTCTGGCCTGCCAGTTTCCGAGCCCCAGTAACGCAGAGTGGTGCGGTCGGGGAGCAAGAAACCTGGAGGTCCAGGAAGACTGGGGAAGACGACATGAAGGAGAGATGTGATCAATACTGCTGATACCGGCAGAGGATCCAGGTGAGAGCTGGATTACTGGACGATTAAAACACTGAGGTGTAAACGGAAGAGTAGATGGCAGAAAATCAAAGCACAGAAAGCCTTTTGAAATTACTTTATTTTTGTAAGAAAAGCTTAAAAAATATAAGTACACACACAGTCTCACTGAGAAAACTAGACGGCGATCATTATCATCATCATCACTAGTATTATCATTGTTGTTAAACTACTTTTATAACCCCTGACTAGCCGTGTAGCACCATTAATTGAAAACTGTACAAGTACAAAAGTAAGTACAATGACAAAAAGGAGTCATTTTCAGATCTTTGATTTATTTTCATTTGAGTTGGATTCAAGGTATAAAAAAAAAGAACAATCAAGTTTCAAGAATACATAACCCCTTTTCCCCATTCACTGTCCCCACATATATAAAATTAAGGCCACTTTCAAAACTGTATGTCACTGTCCAGCAGGACTTTTTAATGACAATATACAAAAACATTCTTTACACAGAGAACAACAACAATAATAGTAATAGTCATAATAATAATGACAGCATCACTTATTATAATAATCAACACTAAAGACATTAATAAAAAAAAAAGGAGAGGACACAGTTGTATTTATTGCTCTAGTCTGATATGAGCGTATCTCATGCTTCATAAGGATGCAGGGTAATGTTTTGTTTCCCTTTTATGGTCCGCACTGGCTCTGACACGTCGTTTTACTGGAAGATTAGGAACACAATGACTGTGCCACTGTGGTTTCCATATGTGTGAGTGTTTTTATGGGAGTGTGTGCAAGTTAATATGGGGGGGTTGGGGGGGGGGGAAATGAACGATCAAAGACGCTGCTTGCTTTTGCGAAGAAACATGCTGGAACAGGCGTCAGAAAGATGCAGGTTCAAAGTGGAAATTCACAAGGACACAAACTGACCACTGACATAAACTAAAAATATGACATTGAAAAAGGCTAAAACAAACAGCAATGAGCTGGCGTCAGTAACCGCGAGAAGAGAGGCAGAGACAGAAGGGAGAGGAAAGAAGGAAAACATGGAAGGACCGAGTGGTTCAGAGATGGAGTAAAAGGAATCTGGCAGTGGTAAGAATATTTTAAAATGCAACTCTGGCACTTTTCCTTCTGCTCTTTCTCTTGTTTCACCTCCTGCTCTGTTACCTGCGTTGCACATTTTCTCCCAATTTTTCTTTTCTTTCGCTCCCCATCTTTCTCACGTCTCTCCCTTCCCTCCCCCTTCATCTACACCTTGTCCAGTAGAGATCGTTGGCAGTAGAGGAGTCGGCGTGGCGTACCGTACCGACGGAAAAACACCAGGGCTGCCAGCACCGCAATCACACACACCAACAGGAAGAGCGGCAAAACCACCGCCGCTGCCCCACTGCCTTCAGCTGTCTCAATAATGGTCACATCAATTTCCTCCTCCACTCTGTCTCTATCCTTCCGGTCCATGTCCTCGTCCTCGTCCCTGCCTCTCCCCCTCTCTCTGTCTCTAGTTCTGTCCTTATCCTCCTGCTCCCTATCCTTCTCCCTTTCCTTCTCCCTCTCCCTCTCCCTTTCCTTGTCCCTCTCCCTCTCCTTGTCTTTGTCGTGTCCTCCGCCTCTTCCTCCGTCCGTCTTTGGGTCTTCGTTGGGGCAGCCCATCCAGTCACGAAGGGCTGATTTTGGGTATCCGGGCTCCACGCGCATCATCTGGTTGTTGAACTTCCAGTACTTGTTGGCTTTGTAGAAGTAGGTGTATGCTGAGGGATTAAAGGAAGAAATGTGAGAAACACTACTCGTAACAAGTGGGGAAAAAATAAAAATAATATACTACACAACACCCTTACCTTGATCTTTGCTCATGAAGGCTGACTTGATGTTGTCAGGCACTCCTTGCCACACACTGACAGCTTTTGGATAGCCATCGTCAACTGACCGGGATTCTTCGTTGAAACGGTAATACCTAAACAAAAAAGGAGAGAAATGTGAAAAATAGAGCAGTGGTGATGAGTTCATGTGAGAGCTTGTAACTTGTAACCTTTCTTGACTTTAAACTTGACTTGTCCTAAAAGACTTGACACCTGACTAACCTTTAAAACTTTACCGAGACTATCCCTTAAAGACTAAATACATTTGGATTGGATTTGTCTTTAACAATGTGAGCGCAGACTTGCCAGAAGGATTTCGAACTTATCTGAGATGTTTTTGTTTTGACATTCTTGAGACTTTGTTTGGTCTTGGATTCTTCTAAATGACTGAACATGTGGTTTTTCTTTGGCCTGATGGACTTCAGACTTGTTTTTGTAAATGTCCTAAACTTGCAACCAGACAAGGAAAAAAAATTTCAAACTCGACCTTGAATACACCTGAAAGACTAAATACAGTGAATTGGTAGAAGCTTGTCTTGAATGTCGTCAGTGTCAACTTGGACTTGACCAAAGGGATTAAAGACCTTCTTAGAGACTTGTTTTGACATACTTTACACTTGTTTTTGTCTGACCTTGTTCTGCCAGACTTGACTTAGACTTGTCACAAATGTCGTGAAATTTTGACCTTAAGAATTTGACGCTTGATTTGAGACTTGGCAGACTTGAAGCTAGATTTCAGACCTGACTTAGACCTTTACCATAAGACTCAATACCCGAATTAAACTCAACCTGGATTTGTCTAGAAAACTTGAAAGATGACTTGGCCTTGCCTTTAAACACTTGAGCCTAAACTTGACTTCAAGAACTTCATATTTGACAAAAGACTGTTCAGACAGATTTAGACTTGACTTAGACTTTTCTTGAATCTCTTGAGTCATGACTTGCTTTTGACCCCTGGAGTGTGTTTCTGCTGAGCTAAATCACTGGACAGACCGCAAGATCAGTGTTGTGTCTGCAGAAATATGTCAGAGGGAGTAGCATGAACTCTTATAAAAGACAGACTCGGACCGAAAACTGAGGTCTGTGCAATCATGTAGGTGGCTGTTTTTACTTATAATGACAGACTGTCATGGTTTATCCCCCTTTTTATACTAACTGCTGTATTACATATGGGAAAGCTTAGCAAGCATTAAAGTTGCCTCAAGGTTTATTTTCATGTTCAAATGAGTAGCAGTTCTGCAATTCATGTTTAACTTTATATGGTCAAGATGTAAACATGTCTTTTGGTGGTCGTGACGCTAAAGGATTTTCCTTGGCATCTTCATTTTATAAACTTCAGCACAGTTTTGTTGTGGCACACATATGCAAGGATGCTGACTCACTTGTTTGCTCTGAAGTAAAATGTCTGCCCAGTGGGAGTGTAGAAGAGAGCAGCGTCTATCCGATCTTTAGGAAGCCCAGTGCCCATTTCTTTAAGACTCTTAGGGTATCCAGCGTCCAGGATAGATTCACTGAACACCCAATACCTGTCCCCTGCAGGGAGATAGAGTCAGAGAGAGACGAGTTGTGAGACAGGTGGAAGGTGTTACTTGTTTAATGATGAAGGTAAAATTAGACTTACCTTTAAAGAAGGCAAATGTCCCATCTTCCCTTTCGAAAGCAGCATTAATATGAGTGGGCAACCCCCTCCAGAAGTGACCAATCGGCATGGGGTATCCATCCAGCACATGGTTGTTACGTACTCGCCAGAACCACTTGTCCTGAGATGGGAAAAACAAAACAAGATTCACTAACAGCCTCTTAAACAAACTCTGGTCCAAACTCCAGCCTTTCTAGGTGGGCTTACCTTGAACACAAACATTTCTCCTCTGAGGATGGCGATGGTGTCAAAGTGTCCGTCACAGATGTTGGGGCCAAAGCGAGGTTTGTCGGGTGAGAAGGGGGGTTGGGGGCTGTTGTTAGGCGGATGTGGTGTTACAGGAGGGGGCTGAGGGCCTGATCCAGACCCTGTTGGACAAGGATATATGACAATTCTTTAAAAGACCTAACTTTAATGGTACATGACAACAGGGGTGTTTCAAGGGATTGCGGCATTTCCCAGCACTGAATACTCAATAGGTGTACAACTAAGCAATGTCGCATCCACAGGTGTTCTCAAACAGGAAACCAGTACAGGCTTTACCCTCCTACAACAAACACTGGCTGCACCTCATTGGATGAAAACTTCTCTCATGCTCATTTCGAGCTGGACCAACATGGTGACTCATTCTGAGTCGGGTGTTTCTAAAAACACTTAAGAGTGTTAAAAAAGCCAAGCAGTTGCTGAATCTGTCTTCATTTTGGTAGGTGGTAGTTTTTGCTGGGAGCTTAAAAGTTTTTTGGGATTTTCCAGAGGCGAGGAGTCACAAATTAGCCTAGACCGCAACTTCCTGCAAATGAGTTGTGGCCGACGTGTTGTCTCTTGAGGTAAAACAAGGTGCAACCAGAATGCATTGCTTGCTGCTCACATCGGCAATTATTAGAAAGGAAATGACGGATCCTGTGGACACGTTCTATAACTCTAGTTTTTAACATATATACCTTCCACTGCTGGCTTTGTTAGTTCAAACACAACTTTACTGACGATCAAACAGTAGTCAATTAAACAAACATAGCAACTGTTTGAAACGAAAATCTGTTTTATCCATGATCAGAAAGACGCTGTTTAAAGACGCGACATTTTATGGAGTCTGTGGCAGTGTAAAGCTTCTTGTGTTCCAAAAACTTGGGTGTTTAGCAGTGGTTTGAGTAATGACTCACCATAAAGTTGCTGTACGCCTCTGCGGTCGTCGTCAGGAAGTTGGAAGTTCTCTGTGTCCATCCACTGGTAGAAGGGAGCCATGATGGCTGAGGGATCATTGGAGTGCTCAAGACCCAGAGCGTGACCCAATTCATGCACCGCAACAAGGAAAATATCATTGCCTGAAACAGTGTCAACACAAAAACAGTTTGTAAGGACTTTTTAAAACACGAGTGTGTTGAGTAGTTGACTTTGATTCTATGTATAGGAAAAAGAGGAAATTCTGCTGTTTCCTAATTTTAAAGTGACTCAAAAGCACACATTCACTTGATGAAACAGTAGATCAAAAATAAAATCATCTGCAAGTCACATGAAGATGTGTTTGACTCAAAGGGATGACACTGCACATTTTTTAGTCAGCTGCTCTAACAAAAATTCTTCTCCGCAGGCGTTCACTGAATCATATGTATTGACACAAGACTGGGCCTGTTGCTGCCCCGGTTTTGCTTGTTACCGCAGAAGCAAAAACTCCTCACTCTCAACATGCAAAGCAACTGCAAACTTTTTTCTGTGTCATCATTTTTCAGTGATTTGCAAAAGAAAAAAAAAAACAAACTCATCTGTCCAAATGCTAGTTTCAACATAGAGCCTCACCTGACAGATCCCGGTCTCCAACTGTCCACGGCTCAGCTGAATCAAAGTGGGTGTCTCCTCCGATGCCATTACCAGGAAAATAGGCGTGAGCCAGGAATCCCCCTTCACCATCGAAGGGGCTGCTGTCACCGTGGAAACCTTCTGCGAAGAAGAGCATGATGTCGGCAAACTCTTCCACCTTGTCGCGAATGTAGCTGTAGGGAATTTCCCGGAAACGAAGTGGGGTGACGCTCTCCCACACCTTAAAGGCCTTCCTGATGGCCTCGTGGGTCTCATACTCGCCCACCTTCGGGGTGTAGTTCTGTATACTGAAGGGGGTGTATTTGTGGGCGTGAGAGGAAAAGGAAAGAAAAAGTAAGACAGGGTGTTAATTCGTTTTTATACAAAAGTCATTTTCGGTCACTCAATATTTGTCTCATCAGTTTGAGTTTTCTCAGATGAGTCCACTGAGTACGAAGATAAAATGAAGTTGTCCGTGATGCCATCACATCACATTGACTTGAAGCATTGCTGACTTACGAGAAAGTGATCTCTTTCTTGTTCCACTTCAGGCCCTGGATGGCATATCGCTTCCTCCTCAGGTTGCTCTTGAGTTCGGCACCAAACTTATCAGGGACACCACAGCGCGCCCGTTTCATTGCCCTGCCAGACAAAAACAAAAAAAACATTACACTCACAACAAGGTAACAAAATGCATTTTTCATGTGTTTGAGGACAGCTAAATATAGAATAGAGCTGTCTGTGGTACTCACGCGACAGTGTTTTCATCGAACACGCCGGTGACAGTCAAGCCGTAGAACCTTTGCATGGCAGCGATGGCTGAGGGGACGGAGTGAGGGGAGCGGAGGGCGTGAGTCCTCAAGTCTCCTGGGGGCAGGTAACCGTACTGTTGCAGCCATGACTGCAGATCGAAGCAAAAAAAAAGGAGACTGATGAGGCATATTGCAAACTGGAACCAAGGAACCAGACACAAAAACATTTCTCATTCCACCTGATGTTTGTTTCTGAACATGGGCAAAGGAACTGTTTGGTATAAAGGACAACAAGTTCAGGACTTTTTTTTTATGCGACTGCAGTAAAAACACATTCCACACTGACAGCGTAAATAATCCCTCAAATAACTTCTCCCTGTGTTTTGGTATTTTGTAGCCAGCATGAACAACATCAGTCTCAAGCACCTGGCATGTCTCCATTTAATGACTAAACGCAAATGTTATTCAACCATCGACAACGGACACTCTGGTGAGTGTGTGGACTAAAGTTGAGTGAGATTGGCTTGAAAGAACACAGCCAAACTTAAGCCCAGAATAAGGACAGTTCAGGTTTCAGCAGAAACTGAATGAGGAATTCCCCCCTCCAAAAGTTAAAGATTAATCTGAGTTTCTGCAGTGAAGTTGTTCTGTCGCTGCTCGTGTGCCGGTTCAGTCGAAACTAAATGACTACATGAAAGCGTTTTTTTTAAACCATTTGGCACACACATTCTGATGGTCATGAAGGCCAAGCTCCAGATCCCTTGGTCTCAGCTGAGCTTGACCTTACTTTCCCCTGGAAACCCATTTTTACTGCAGTGCTGGTTTGACATCTGGACCAGCGCCAGCGGCTTCGCTCCACACCTCTCCCACACAGCTTCTCCCAAACTCTTTCCCTCTCGAACTAAAGCTGAAAAAATAACACTGAGGCTATTGTAAGCACAGTGAAAACCGAGACCACTTTGATATTCTGCTGTACACAGTGACTTTGTGAGCTTGTCATGCACTTTCAGGATGTGTTTCATGGTTCGGATATAAAGGGCGCCTGACTGATAAAGCCTACCTGTTTGGGTGGGATTTGTCCTTGCATGATGGGGCGTGATTTGACACAACTTAATGTGATCTGTTATTTGTTTTGGTTGGTTTTGATCCAAAAGTATGGACAGAGTAGGTGTGTGTGTGTGTGTGTGTGTGTGCAGAGAAAAGGATTGAGAGAAAGAAGAGAAAAAGATAGGGAGTGTCCCAGGGTGAGACTCAGGCCTTGGGCAACCTCAGCCGATGTCTCCAGTCAAGCAGCAGCAGCGTCAGTCAGTAATTTAACTGGGAATTTCTTCCTAGTCGCATCCAAACCTCAAAGTCAAACTCTTCCCCCCACGTTCATGTCTCTGTCTTCGCCTCTTCACTCCACCCCTTCTCCTCTCTCCTTATCCCTCTCTTATGGAAAACCCAGAGACTGGAGGGTAAATACTCATGAACAACCACACCCTGAGCCGCTCAATTATTGCTGTAATGCCTATCTGCTGCTAATAGTTGGTAAATACAATGAGGGCAAAACCATTTTCACTGCCTTGTTTCAGCATTTTCCACTGAAAATGTACAGCAAGCGAAGGTGCTGACGTGACTGATTCTGTGTTTTCCGTCTGTATGCTTTTATTACATCTGTATCGAACAACTGATGCTCGTCCAGTTTGGCTGAGCTTGAGCAGGAGTTGAATGGCAGCTTCGGAGGCCCTTGAAGGTTTAATCTGTCCCTCTGTGTCTGTCCAAAGGAGACATGGAGGTCTCGGTGTTTAGACTTCACCCCTGAATGAGCTCTTTCTGGTTCTGACTCACCCATGGAGCGCCAGTGGACACATAAAGACTCACTGTTTGCCACTGTTACACCGTAAGCGGGAAAAAGAAGAGCACAAGGAGGGAAAGATGAAGCTTAGTTGGATGTAGAGGGTTGTAATTAAGAGTCATGTCGAGACTGCTCCAGTATGTTCTAATAAACCAACGTAGGTTTCGCCTCTCCTGAAGTCAAACTGTAGAACTGGTCATTCACTGCGAATGTCTGCGTTTTGAAGGCCTCATTTGACTGAGATTGAAACCCTATTCTTCTCGTTCACACACTCACTGTTTTCTTTTCAAGAAAAGCCTGAATTTTGCCCTCAGCTCAGTCAAAAGGCTGCTGTTGAATGACACTGAAGACTTGTTTCAGCTTTAAGGCTTCCACACCTCATTCATGGGTCCCCCAGGTGACTTGACAAAGGCTTATTCACCGACTATTTTTGACCACACTAATGGGCAGGGCAACTAACGCAGCAGCAGGAGGAGGAAGTGGTCACTGTTTACAGTACCACAGGAGATGACAGTCCAAACTAAAACAGCCTTTTGAAGAAGAAGAGCAGTGGTTCCCAGCATGCTCTCTTACTCACACAGGCCTGTCACAAGCACTGCTTCACTGATGACCCATGGTTCCAATTATTTATCCGTTCCAGTAAGCTAGCTACTTTGACCATTTGTTATTTACTTAGGTTAACAGTTGAATTGCTGTTTAAAATCTTCGTGGTTGTTGATTAAACTCCGAAAAACTTGGTTTTGTGTGTCCAAGTTGCATATTTAGAAGGTTTTTCCCATTAAAATAATCCTTTTCTGCCTTCAAAATGGCTGAGATGTAAGTCTACAGCATCTTCTAGAATGTCGATGGAGTTCCCGCCCATTCCTCAATCCACAACTCCCACTTTGCTGCAGCTCGAGCACACCAGCTCACCTTTAGCTCCGCTCAATCACCGTAAAACTACTATACACTACAGCTCAATAAGCAATATTTTGAACCAATATACATTTTGCAGTAAATCTAAAAAATATTGGTGTCAAAATTTAGAATAACTCAAACTCTAACACAAAACTTTGTCGAAATGCTTTTTCAAAAATGTATGTTTTACATTTTTTTATTTTTTTTTCCTAACATTTATTCTTCAGAGTTGATTGCACTTCATTACTTGACACAAAACCAACCAGATAGTGCTGTGGGCGGGACGCTGCTCCAGACCTCAGAGTGAATACAGGTAGAGAGAGGTGGCTGCATCAAAGCAGGAAGAGGATATTTGAAATGTACTTTAATATCAGGAATACCTACATTCGGAAAATACAAGAATCAATAATCCGCCATGGCACTAATCGACTGAGTTCCTCAGGTTTGTTACATATGAAACCCTGAAGGCAGAATCAGTGGTTTTGACTCTTGTTTCAAAGCGGAAATCCTCAGCAATGGTGTTGGCCACCTACTGCGAGCATTGTGTGTCTTTAGCATATAAAAAACACCATGTGGACATGTTAGGAAAGTAGAAAAAAAATTGATTTTCACTGAGGGGGTCTTTTAGTTTCTCTTGTGCAGCGTAAAGCATTGAGGTGCTGCAACATCCCCACTATCTGGGTGCACGTTTTCATTTAAAACTTTCAATGGGTTCAAAATGACTTCAGCTGCTCTACTGTTAATGTTTCTACGTATCTCCTAGAAACTGTAGAAATACCTCCTTTGGTTTTAGTATCCCTAGTTGGCCTTTTAAACTGATGGATGGAGGCATTTTAGTGCAGCAGTGTGTCATGATCCCTTGATGTTTAACACACAGAGCAAAGGCACTTTCAGGCCAGATCTGGGGATTTTTACAGTAAAGCTCGCTCACATGCAACGATGTGAGTTTAATGGTTTAATGGAAGATCTACAAGAATCAAACAATGGTTGCTATGGGTGTCACCAGGCAGAGTGCTCATTTTGCATAGGATGAGAAAAGGAGACGAAGGGATAGCGAGTCAGTTGTTCCGTTTGCTGAAGGCCAATGGAAAGAAACTCTGGTCAACAGCGATGGGAGTCCAACTGAGGCATGCTGGGTATACAGCTCCTCATTACACGTCCACTCTGTCCGTCCAGAGAGCTGCAGTATTATGTCAGATGTCATAAACACGTGAAATCCCCTTCACTTGCAGCAGCTCATTACTGGCTGCTAGCGTGTGACCGTGTGTGTCAGCAAGTTTGTGCGGAGAAGCGAATTTACCGCAACACCTCAACCAACTTTTTAAATTCTTTCTCACTGTATGAAAGTTTGCCCAACGCTTACGCCGTTGCCCGAGGAAGGCATTTACGACCTCTCCGACCCCTCCGGCCGAGAGCTCCTCCGCACACATGTAGAAAACCTCTTTCGGCGTGTGTAATCCCCCAGCTGCTGTCTATTAAAACAACCCTTCTTCAGCCAACACCAGCAAGACCCGGTGACACAAGAGTGGAAAAACACACATTTCTGCCAATGTCATTTGAGCAAGGAGTCATTCCCAAGAAATCCTCAATGGCCGGATTTGGTAAAAAAAAAAAAAAGGAAAAATGTGTCCTCAAAATTTGGCTCATTGCTGGCTTCTTCTTTTTTTTATAAACCGGAAATGAGGTAATGACTTTGAGTATTACCTTATTTCCTTCAACACCTTCTATCTTTCCTCAGGGAAGCTGCCTCGGGCCACCCACTGATGATCCTAACAAAGCTTTTGTCTAAAACCTGCACACTCTTCCCTCCTTCCTTCCTTACTTCCTTCCTTCTTCTAAATGACAAATGAGACTTGTCCAACAGTAAAGTTACTAGTTTAACCAATTAGACTGAGCTTAAGTCACTGCTTATGCTCTTTGATGGCAGCTGAAGTGGGACACACAGTGTATTGATGCAGGATGTCTGCACGACAGCTATGATTTACATCCTGTCCTATTGAGTAGGATAATTGCTTCATTTTCCTCCTTTTTCCCAGATTGCATCACTCCCACCACCACAATGCCCTCCTTTCTGGTCTGCAACAGCCTCCGCACTGTCCTCCCTTCGTCACTTTCATCATCTCATTTCACGAGCATTTATCTTTCTTTGTTGCGAATGATCTCAGCGTGCAGAAATGTCTTTGTACGTATGCAGAGGAACAAATCTGTGCCCATATGGTAGATCTGTGTGCGTTACAGGCAGGTGGTTGCTGACACACCAGGGTGTTTTAGAGGTGAAGCTGACCACGTCCTGTCTCTGCCACAAACCAAAGGAAGTGACTTGTGTGCGTCCACGCAACCTCCAGCTGTTTATCTCACCAGAACAGGCCCACTGACCAACAAACAACCTGATTTGGTTTATTCTTAATTAAAGTTCAAACATCCTACAGAGCAGCAGAACTGTGCACTGATGCTCCTGATTTGTGGGTTTGTGGAGGCAACATGTGGGATCACAGGCAGAAAAAGCTACAAAAAACACAAGAATGTTGATCGTCTTTTTGCGTAAAATCAAATTTTTTGAGCTTGTTCTGGCAGAAAGTTACACTTGATCTTCTGCGTACATTGGACACATTCTTGACTTTCTTATTGATGATACAAAAAATTCAACCTCAAACTGAAGGACTTTATGACTATTTCCAAAACAAACAATAGGTTGTCCTCCAATGAACCCTAGAAGTTTTGCAGCACTTCATGCCGTAGTGAACATTTTGAATTTGACGATTTGTTGAACAGTGATATAAGAGAATCGAGAATTTTAAGCGCCTTGTAGGCTAGTCTCGCCACTCGGCAGCCATCTTTGTAACATCCCCGAGTTATGTTGGGCTAACAAGACCACACTCTGTCTAAATTAATAGGGATGGAGTCATTCTAGTAATTTCAATGGTCCTTGGGGCATAAAATCTGCAGAATAACTTGTCAAAGCTGCTAAAAACAAGATGGATGTTTGATTGTTATAAAGCAGATTATTGGCTTATTCAGGCTTTTCTTGGACAGGTGTCTTTATGGAACTAACACAAAGTTTTCTATTCAGGATTCTTTCCGTCTCTCCTTCATAATATCTCTGGTGAAGCTACTATTGTTATTTAAATTACACTTTTTTTTTTGCTTAGTTGGCGTTGCCACCATTATGTCACTCCAGTAGATCCAAAAACCCTGTAATAAAGAAGAACCTCCACACCAGTGTGTTGACTGTGAAAATGTGCAGTAATTGTTTCTGCAAACTCCTTGACATTTGCATCCATAGACGCTCCATGCTCAGCCACTAGCCTGTCTTTCCAAGGACCACTGCTTCAGAAAACATTGATAACTGAGATTTTATTGTCGTCAAGCGTTGGTTTGTGTGATAAAATTTCAGTGTTCTCAATTATGGTCGGAGGCGACTCCCTGTTTACATTTTGCGGATTGTGCTTCAAAGTATCCAGTCTAATGTAGGTCAATGGAGTAACTCAACTCCACTTTCTTCCACTGGCACGGCTGGAGTTATAATTCCATAGGCAGGATACAGCGATCAGACAGATGATTGGCGCCACCGTATGACCTATTAAAATTCATATTTCTTTGATGGCATGCGTGCATGCGTTGCACGAACCCTGCGCACGCACAATCACGCAGTACTTCCTAATAACGCGAAAGGAAGCAGGTGTGTAGGATTATCAAAACAGAGTCACATCCTGCACCATGAGCAGAAGCTGTGTGATGGTACGGCTCACACTGCTGACAGAAACAGATCAGAAGAGAAATTTGCTGAACAGATCAGATCACAGAAAAGAACAAATCAGGAGATGAACATTCTCCGATCTGTGCTTCAAGATGGCACTTTTGGAAGATACACTGGAAGATTATCCACAGCTGAGCGAAGCCGAGATGCTGCAGAACCTCTCAGATTGTCGAACCTGCCTCCCCTTCATTCGTTGCTCTGATATAACTCAGGACAGATGTCAACAATTACATCCTCTCCCCCCCTCCTTCACCATCCCTCTGAATATATAACTGCACCCACAGCTCTCAATCCCTCCGTCCATTCCCACAAAAATTGCCTGTGTCTCTGCCCCGACCACAATACAAGCTAATGCATTTCTCTTCGCCTGCTTTTTTTCTGCTGCTCCCCTGCTTTTGCCCTCTCAGCATTTCTCAGTGTTTTCATGAGCGCTATCATCATTATGGGCTGCTTCCTCTAACCCAGGGTCAAAGCCCTTCCCATATACCCCTGCGCCAGCAACTGCAGAAATTATTCTCCATCAGGATGCGGAGTTATAACAAAGCCATTATGGCAGCCATAAAACCAGGCTGACTGTGATTATAATTATGAGCAGATTTTGTTGCTGTCAAGTATTTAAAAAACACAACATTTTATATACATGTAGAAAACCCCTCTCCAGATCATCTAAACTCCAAATGCATCTCCTTATCCTTGCTTTCTTTATCCTATCTTTCTTAGATGGTCATGTTTTTGCTTTAATCCTCAAGTCTAGATTTAGCTATCTGGTTTCATTGTTTTGGTTTTTTGTGGATAACTTGGTGAAGCCTGGATTTATGTATCCAGTTTGCACTGCCCTGTCCTTGATTGTTGACCCAGTTCTTATCCATCCAGTGTGGATTTATTTATCTAGCTTTATCCATCTGATGTGGATTTATTTGTCTGGCTTTCTGTGTGTTTTCCTCACCTCTGGGTTGATCTGTCGCTCCGTGGCTCCCTGTGCGCTCAGCTCCCACACCACCGCCAGCAGCAGCAGCCGGACAAGGGATTTCAGCTCTGGTGCCATCACTCGACTCTCCAACAAAAAAAAAAAAAAAAAGTCTCAAAAAACAGGCAGACTCCCTAGCAGCTCGCACGATCTTCTCTTTTGTCAAAACATTATGCGTGGAAAGAAAAAGTTATCCCATGCACGAATTTTCGAACGAGCTCGAACTTTACGCAAAGTAGAAAGAAAAGAAAAGAAAAAAAAACAACAGCAAATGTGCAACTTATAACTGGAGTTTCTTAAACCATCAGAGGTGTTTGTCCACTCTGTGCATTCTTATCGCAGTTTTTGGATGAATTGTAACCAAATTTATCGGACGTTACTGGAAGCAGGAAGTCTGTGGAGCTGCAAGCGGTGCGTATTTTATGTCCAAATTCTGCTTGCGCTTTGCTCCAGATGTTGCAACCGACTTTGTTTTCATGAAACTCCTCCTGTCCTTCTCTTCCCTATCCTCCAGTCGGCTTATTTTGATCCCCTCTCCTCTTTCTTCCCCTTTCTCTCTCTCTCTTTCTCTCTCTCTCCCCTCTGCAGACGTGGTAGTTTGATTCTCCCCGGAGACCTTCAGCTGGAAAGTAGAGGGTTGTAAACCATCCCCCTCCTGCATCAGCCCGCCTCTCCGCCGTGGAGGGCTGGAATCAACTTGGTGACCCTGGCATTGGACTTGGCACGGTTTGCTCTGACTTGCCCTTGGGCAGTGATTAAATGCTTTCGAGCTCGTTAAAATGCATGAAGCTGTTATTATTTAGAGCGGAGAGGGAAAAACACAATGAGAAGGACAAATTCGTCAACAAATTGCGCAGCTCAAACAGTTTGGAGTGCAGTGGAATAGCAGCTTGAAGTGACGATGTGGTCCATTTAAGGTGATTTATCAACACAATCATCTGCTGTCGTGGAATTAGGCCTTAAATAAATCAGATTATCTATCAGTTAAGCCACTTATTTAACCAAAAACAGCTTTTGTGCACCAAAGCTTCACATTAATCTCAAGACAAATTAACTATTATTTCCATGGAGTTTAACTGTTTTGATCTTGACTAAGTCATTCTCAGTTTATTACCGTTTGTTTTCCACAGATTGTTTTTCTATCACACTGGCTCCTAATGAGTGATGCACAAATACTATATGCAGCATCAAACTGTGTTTAAAAAGGGGGAATTGCGCCCTCTAATGTACACATTGCACATACATTTAAACAGCCTTATATAGGTAGGACTGACCTGCTTCACATTTTTTTTTATATTACATGCTTTTCTCTTTCTATTTAACATTTCCACCTATGAAAGGACAGTTTTGGATTCCAGATCACAACATGCACAAGAACCACCTTAACTGACTGAGTGTTTGTGTTGCAGTTCTGATCTGGAACCAAACCAACACCGTCTGAACAAAGGTAAAAGAAGAGACAAGCATGTAAAGTTAAACTTACTTGTTTGTAGCAATGGCCCCTATAGATTTCACACAACACTGGAAGGCTGTTCCTTGATGCTCAGACACAGACAAGCATGTAAGTACGTCGACACATAGAGCGTCTCGAGGCACATTTTTACCTCCTGTAATCTAATTTATGTGCACACAAACTGCTAAGAAAAGACAGCTGGCCTCCTCCGCTCCTCTCCACTCGGCCTCTCGGTTTATACGACACCCGGGAGGGGAGTTCTGAACGTCTTGACAGGAAACAGGGATCAGTGACATCTGCATGTGACGGACTGTGGCAGTTAACCAGACACACAAATGTCCACAATGGGGAAATAAAAAGACAATATTCCAGCAGCTGGGGCACCAAAAAATACTGTAAAATAACAGAACATAGCAATCTCATAAAGATCTACTTTTAAATAACTTCAGTTTCTCAATTTTACTTGAGATCATGTGTATTTTTTTTTTTTTACTTTTTTAATGTTTAATGAAAGATATTTACATACAAGGGGACAGGGATATTTATATTTTTTTATAATCAGCTGTAATACTGCAGAACTCTTCACTATAAGTTGGGTTTTGTTATGCAATTTTATGTTTATTTTTTTTTAAGTCTCAAATTTCTGCTGGAAAACTAGTAATTCAGTTTGTGAGTTCAAGATTCTATTATTGTTATTTTAGTTATTTTATTATTGTTATTTTTAGATTATATCAAGTTTAATATTTGCATGAAACTTCAAAAAACTATAATTATGCCTCCAAAAATATAGTGTTGCATTTAGGTCACATCATGTGTCATATGACCTTTTACATGTCACTTCATCTTGTATAGATCCAGCAATTCCAAAGTTAAAATATCTCAAGCAACAGTGGGCAAGATTTTCATCCCAAATTGGTTTTTAATGTGGATATATTGAAAGTACAGCTTACAACAAACAGACATAGACTTCTGATATATATATAGAAACTGAAAGTTTTAGTAACTTTAGTAACTGAAAATGTGTTACAGATATTACTTTTGGACCAAACAACAATCATAATATTCACAAAGCTGAAGGGTAAACGTCACACACACAAAAAAAAATCATGTCCTCACTGGGCTCACAAACACTGCAAGTGTGCTTCTGGTTTGACAGGACAATATTAGTGAAAATATAAACCACAATGACATGAGTGAGTAGTTTTCAGAACCACAAGATGGGGACAAAAGACTTAACATCCCCCCCAGTAACACATTCATATTGTTGGCCTTGTTTGCTCTTAAGAAGCAAAATTTAGTCTTGCTGGCCTACTTTCCCAGGTTGTAGCTCCAACCTGGGTTGCAGCATTTGCCGAAATATATTCTTTTGGTTAGCTTGAGTCTCCTTTGGTGCCAGTTGGATGAGATTTGGTACATGGCACAACAGTTGTAAAATGTTTACAAAATGACATACAAGTATTTAAGCTAGTTCTTTTAGTGTACTTTCTGGTGACTCGTTAGGAACCTGATCATGTCAGATTTGTTCGAAATGAAAAACCGTACCCATGTGGGCTTGTTGTAAGTTGAAGCAAACACTATGAATTATTTTACCCTGGTCTGCTATGAAACACTGATACAACAGGGATACTTTTTTTCCTTATTTCCAAACACGGTATTTTTTTCTGTTAGGATGTACTTCAGTTTGTTTCCAACTTCAGCCAGACAAAGATCGTGTCACTTTTTAATAAATCCAGCAAAGCCTGGACTTATTTTGTTGCTCCTTGAATATCTTTTATATTTATTTGTACAATAGTTGTCTCTTTTTTTTTTTTTTTTAACACAACAGGACCAAGCTGATTGACTCACGACTTTCACATACAGACATATTACTCTGACTATCAAACTGACAGGCTACCTGAAATGTGTTAAGGAAGCAGTACTATGCAAATGTCCATACAGTTTCACCAAAAGGTAAGCAATGATTGAAAACCCCAGAACATTTTCTAGCCAATCACGCCGACTCTAGTTATGACTCTTCGCCACACTCGTCCCCAGCTTCCTCAGAGGCCCTCGGCTCCACCTGCGATCGACCAGGCGATTTTGCCGACTCATTTTCTCCTCGACCTGCGGCGGTCGGGTCATCAGCTGGCTCGGTACTGGTGTTTAGGAAGGCTTGGTACTGGTTCCAGAAGCCTGCTGAGCTCCTGGTGGCTGGAATGTTTAAGGAAGTCATAGATGTAGAAGATGGAAGCTGATCAGCGGAAGAACGACTACTCCGGGCTGGTGGACGTGACGTTTTGGTTACGACACCATGGTGCTTCATGTGCCCCTGGGAAATAATAGAAATAAAACCAGTGAGAGTAAAGCTAGACATAGCTAATAAACATGTCCAATATAGTGTAGATTAAATCCATGGCTTGTTTAATTCAACGTAAGACCTGAGAACGTATTACTTTTTCTTTAAGAGGTGCTCTGACTAATATTTCAATTGAGCATGGGTTATTTCATATTTCACGATAATGATTCTCATTATATTGAACTTTTACCTCCATTTCTACTGCTATAATATACACTTCTGTTAAAGCTGAAAGTTTGTTTTCACCTTCTGAAAAAAGTTCTACAATTATTCTGCCAGCAAATCCTGATACATCTCTAATAGAATTTAATTTGATGGCATGTAGTTTTTTTCTAACCTTCAGTCCGCTGCGACTGGCATACTCTTTTCCACACTCAGCGCAGCAGTAGGTTTTCTTCTCAGGACGAGACATCGGAGACGGGAGTGTTGGAGCGAGGCTGATGGGAACAGAAGCATCCAGCACTTCACTTGGAGCCAGTGCAGTAAGCCTCACTTCCGCCCGATCTTCCCGCCCAAATGAACCAAAATTGAAGCTCTGACGGGTCTCCCTTGCAAAACTGGCTGCTCTCTGTGATCCGCCCCTCACTTCAGCACCTGTAGTGTCTGGAGTTTCCAAGGTGGCTGTCGTTTTGGGATCCTCGTCGGGCACAGTTGCTTGGTCTTGCTTTGGTGTTGTAGGTGGAGGAGACTGAACTTTGTCTTCTCCCACAGGTTCTGGTGACTGAGGCCTTGGAGAGGCTGAGTCAGATTCCAGGGTTGCTGTCGCATTCACATCTGAAACATCCTGACTCGGGACGGGGTTAGAGGTGGAGCAGGTGTAAGCAAACGGAGCACCAAGAGTAGTAGGTGTGTTTTGCAATTCCTCCAGGTTTGATTTAGAGCCAAGGAAGGCATCAGAGGAGGTAGATGCTTCATCCTCACCACAGTCCACTACCAGGGCAGTAGGTGATGCTGTGGTTTTGGTAGCGTTGGAGGGAAGTGGTGAAGGGGTAGCTGTAGGAATATGGACGTCAGCAGCGGCTTGTTGTTCAACTTGGTTGTCTTCATCAACTGGAGAAGCTTGATCTGTCTGCTGGGAGGCTGGTAAGGGGACACTAACACAAAGGACAGGGGGGTCTGCACTGCCTGGAGGTGGAGTTTGTGTGGTGGGATTCATGAAGGGGTCAGGGCTAAGGTCAGAGGGGGGGATGTGGTCTGGGCTGCAGGATGGAGACTTGCTGGGATTTTTAGTGAATTCAACTGATTTCATACTGCCAGAAACAGGAATGGAGCCAACTGCTGGGGCCGGGCTCTTAGAGTGGCCGGCCAGAGGGGGTGTTTTACTAGAGGCAGCATTTGGGTCAGTGGACTGAGACTGAGACTGAGATTCTAGCAAAGGTTTGGCATTCGATTCAGTTGGCATCTCATGTGCAGAATTCTCAGAGCCATCTGGGGGCAACTGTCCACCAAGGTGCATTCGGATGTGGTGCTGAAGCACCAGAGCATTAGTGAACTTGCGCTGGCACAGTGGGCAAGAGTTCTGCACACGTGCATTGGGTGGTCGGGCATGGTGAGTGGCGAGATGTGACCGCAGGCTGCCTTTGGTAGAGAAGGATCTTCCACATATTTTACATGGAAAAGGACGTTCTCCGAGGTGCGTGGCCTGGTGCAGCCGCAGCGCTCTGGGACAACTCAGCACCCGAAGACACACCCCACACTGATTGTTTGTCAGGTTACCAGCTGGACCTGTGATGTTGAGCGATGGCAGCATGCCCCCTGCCATTGCACTTGCTCCATTTGCACTCATGCCAAGG